AGGCTGTGCAGACCAGCGGTTACATTTTTTTAAATGAAACCATCACCCTCAAACGATGCTTTGAGGTTTAGGCCATGCAGGCCTGTTTCTGGTCAGGTGTGGGACACGCAGTTTATTCTAAAACATGTCATTCTGGGTGTGGTTTTAAGAAGATCAGTGGGACGTCAGGATGTCAGTGTTTATCACGGATCTGAGCACTTTGTGCTGGTAGATAGACTCTGAAGAAAAAGCTCATTTGGTTAATGCCTGGCTGCAGAAATGTGTAAGCAGTACAATTGATGTGAGTCACTGTGGATAAGAGCATCTGCTGAGCAATTAGCTAATACAGGTTCTGTTGCAACAGCGGGGGTACGGACACAGATTGTCCAAGGACTGTCCATGGGCTCTCTGTGACTTCCGAGTCCTGACTCTGGGCACGGGCTGTCCATGGTCTGTCTGTGACTTCCGAGTCCTGACTCTGGGCACGGGCTGTCTATGAGCTCTCTGTGACTTCCGAGTCCTGACTCTGGGCACGGGCTGTCCATAGGCTCTCTGTGACTTCCGAGTCCTGACTCTGGGCACGAGCTGTCTATGAGCTCTCTGTGACTTCTGAGTCCTGACTCTGGGCACGGGCTGTCCATGGTCTCTCTGTGACTTCCGAGTCCTGACTCTGGGCACGGGCTGTCCATGGGCTATCTGTGACTTCCGAGTCCTGACTCTGGGCACGGGCTGTCCATGGGCTCTCTGTGACTTCCGAGTCCTGACTCTGGGCACAGGCTGTCTATGAGCTCTCTGTGACTTCCGAGTCCTGACTCTGGGCACGGGCTGTCCATGGGCTCTCTGTGACCTCCAGATTCTGCTTTAGTCACCCACCCTTTGCAGTCTACGTTTTCAGCAGTTACTTCCTGAAAAACTACACTCAGCTCCATTCTCCTGAGTCAGCTGAGGACATGGGGAATGAGCTGCTCTAGTCAGGGAGGGGGGAGGCGGCCAGGCTGCTTGAGTCGTGCAATGATTAAAAACAAAAGCCGAATAATCGTATCTGGTGCCCTGCCAGACCGCCAGGATAAAAGCTACAAGTGGCAGTGGGGTAGCGGCCGAAGCACTGAGAGGAACCACACTTGCAGAATATGCATGCCTGTTAAAACACATGCTCCTTAAGATGCGTGCTCACTAAACTTTGTCTGTCATGATGCACGTTTGTTAAAAGGACTCATGCGGAGGGTGGAATCAGCTTCACTGTTACAGGCTTAGTATGGGGGTGGGGCTTGGCCTGGGGGTGGTGCTTAAGAAGGGGCCAGGCCTACCCTGAGGGCAGGGCTTGTAATCCTTACAGGATGCAGCTCCATGAAATTAGTTCTATACCTGTGGCTCTTTGACCCTTAGTCCCGATGAATGGGCCGGCTAGTTTATTAGAAAAATAGAATAATTATACTGTGATATGTCAGCATTAATACTAGACCCACAGGAGTAAAAGCGACTCTTGGCTGTTCGCCAGTGCTGATTACACCTCTGCAGCGTGTTTTCCCGTCGCCGGTGCCGACTGCCAGGCAGCTAAATCACTGAGAGCACCCAGACACTTCAGGGTCGCTAATTGGATTAGCTTCAAACAGGCATCTGTGGTCATCGGGCTGCCCGGCTCCAGCTTAACCCGTCAGAGGCCTGTTAGTGATGGATGGATGGACATCAGCTGGCAGGATGTGCAGGCTTCCCGTTACCTTTACGGTGTCGTGGGTCGTGACCTCTGACTCGTCGTTTGTAGCAATGCTCGGTTTCATTTCCAGGGTTAAATGCCTCGACCTTGACCAGGCAGAGGCTGAGCTGCGGTTGTGGGCACGGTTGTTTCGGTGGCGGCCAGCAATTGGTGAAGCGGTCACTGAAGCCACATGCACCCAAGGGAGGAGTGCTGCCTTCTCCCCACCAAGCCCAGAATCAGCAAGCAGCCACAGAACACGGGAAATGGGAAGAATTTGATCTGTTGGGGACTAAAACTGATTTTCCATTTTCAAGCTGACCTCACTGTGTTGGCAATCTTGTGACTGGACATGTCAGCGTGAGCTTTTGCTCATATCTCTGTCAGACACGCAGGTCTTAGTTATTAGACTGTTCACAGTTGTTAGACAGATCTGAGGTGTAAATGTAACAGGTGAATTGTCAGCTGGCCATTGCGGCTGCTTTGCTATGACTGGCACGACCTCCCTAGGCAGCAGGATGAGTTAGACATGCTAGAGTCTATCAGCCCAGGAGCTGGGAAGCAGCAAGAATGTGGGCTGTCTAGGGGGTCCCCAAGGATTTCATTGAGGGGTTGGGCATAGCTGTGTGTGTGGGGGGGGGTCAAAGCCAGCTTTGCAGTGAGCTTGTACGAGTGCAGGGGCTTTGCTACGCAAACTGTAGAGAAGAGTCAGTCGTGATGCCGGCGGGTTCAAACCAAAGGCCGCAGATTCACGGTCCTGCCCCTGCTCCTTGTTCCTTTGTGTATGAAGTTACACCTGCATCTCCCATGGGACCGAAGCAGCCCTTGCAATGGGGACACAGAGGCGTCTCTGACTTCCGAGGAGAGGAAGCTGAGCCTCTTTCCGCGCCGAGGGCGGGCCGCTCTCGCTCTCTGCTGTCTCCCATGCCGTGCTTCTCGGTCCCATCGCACCTCTGTAAGAGAACCTGCAGCCCCATAGCGTTGAGGTGTAACAGGCTTATCGCCTATACCCAAACCCCCCCCCGTCCCCCCGGGTATGACATTTTCATTAGCACTGCGCTAACACACTTTGCCCTGCTCTTTGTGTGCGGGCTAATTAGATTACAGTGTCCTAAACGGCCTTTCATGCAGAGAGAGTCTCTTGGATTCCCCGACACTCTCCTCCCATCAGGTCCATGCTCTCCTGCGATGAGGTCGGCTTAATTACTGTGTTAACGACGGGTCTCTCACAGCTGGAGTGCCGAATCAGCAGCGGATCGATGCCCTATGGAACCGGCCGTTGTGTTTCTGTGGCAACGGTGTCCCATACACTCTGTGAATGCTTGACACTCGTGTTTCATTCCTGTGCTCTGTGCTGTGGTTGTAAGAAATGGGCCTGGGGCTGCAGAGGTGCAGGTCTGAACTGTGGGGTGGTTCCGGAATCTTCACTAACATTTTACGTATAGCAGTCATGTATAATGCATGCCATGACCTTCATAATACATCATAATGCATTCATAAAATATTATAAACACGACTATATTTATAAAAATACATAGCACATTATAGCCATGATGCATTATGAATGCTCTCAGCTATAATGCATAATGCAGTACAAAGCATTAATTCTTATACTGACCATTATAATGCATTATGAAGGTATCTATAGTGCATGTAGCTTCATAGAGCTTTCATAATGCATAATAAACACGGGTGTAATGTGTTATACCTTTTAATAAATTGTTATATCTTCGTTTATAATACTTTATGAATGCATTATTATACGTTATGAAGGTATTTATATTGCATTATGATGACTGCTTTAAATAAAGTGTTATCGAATCCTCTTCTCAGAGTGGGTGTCCTGGTTGGGGGGTGGGGGTGGGGATTGTATGTGTGTTTTAGATGTGGGTATGTTTCAGAGTAAGTGCTAGTTAGGCTGAGGCCCATATTTCAGCTTATAGGACACTATGGATCACATGCACCTCAACCAGAAGAGTGCACCACTTGAAAACTGCACAGAAGCACAAATACGTGTTTTGTTTCTCTTGATAAAATGGCCCAGGTTGTTTTGAAGCAGAGAGCGACATACAGAGGCTTGAATGATATGAATGGATGTTGCGTGTGCTGTCTTCGGCCGATGAATGGGCCGGCTAGCTGGGAGTGACCTGACAGAGTAGCACGCAGCTGTGAGGCTGCCTCCAGCTTGCCTGAAGCGTATCCCAGACTCCACTGCTCCTGAAGCGTATCCCAGACTCCTCTGCTCCCCGCGCTGGCTCTGCCACCTCCTCCACCTCGACTACGGTTACAGATCCGCCGAGCAGCTGCGCTGAGTGTATGTGTGTGTGTGTGTGTGTGTGAGTGTGTGTGTGTGTGTGTGTGCGCCTTTATGTCTGACTGTAGCCAGATCCCTGCATCCTGTTTTTATTTATAAGCATGTGTGGTATCCTGTTAAAAAAAAATCTGAATTCGACATACAGTACTGGCTTTGGGCTGGGTTCTTCATTTTAAAGTATGGGTTTGGGCTCAAAGGCACTACATTCCTCCGGTCCACAGCCTCACACCTCTGCTACCCCCCCCCCCCCTTACTGGCTCCCTGTGCTTTTCTGGGATGGTCTATAGTCTCCTCTGTCCTCCCAAGCAGTCAGCTAACCTCACTGTCACCGACATTCCCGTCCCGTCACACTGGAATGTTTTCTCCGTCTGATTGTTGATGGTGTACGGGGCGTCTAGACTTCTGGATGATTGACGGTTGTTATTTTGTTTCCCCGTTTGGAAATTCCGCTAGTGGAGGGGTTCATTTTATGTTTTGTGCGCCTGTCGAGTTTCACATTCCTTTCACTTATTTATTCGTTCGATGAGCTCCTGTATCCTCACTTAGACTTACACGGAGGATGTTTCCCGCGCCAAAGCTGTCTGCAGCTGCAGCTCTGCTTTATGTGTAACATAATACAGGGGAAGAGCCACTTCTGGGTTGTTTCTTTATGAGGCTGAACCCCATAACTCATGGCCATGCGATTATCTCACATTATTCGGATGCTTCCCAAATGACAGCTTGCAGACACTGACTTCCTTTTGCACTACGGTATGTTAAACTGGGGCAGTTTAGTGTCTTTCTCACGAGTGCAACAACTGGACCTTTCTGGTGCCCAAATTAGTTTTCTTTTGACATTTAAACTGGCAGCACCTGGTTGTGACCGCATTACCTAACCTGCTTAACTAACACCAGCTTTAAATTTTATGTGACTGAGGACAAAGGATTGTGTGTTTGTGGTCAGTCTCACAGTTGACCATATACTCCTTGCAGGTCATGTTAAGGTCACTGACTCTTCGTGTCTGATCTCCACAGCATCTGGCGAGGACTGAACGTGAACTGCGCTGACAGCTCGGGGTACACGCCCCTACACCATGCCTCACTCAACGGACACCGGTAAGAGCATTGGATCAGTATGTGGGTGGTTTGTGGCTTAGCAGGGTAGACTTCTGTGGCTATGATCAGAAGGTCACAGGGTCAGATCCTTTCTTCAGCCACATTGTTACATCTCTCTGCCTATTGATAATTGTCTAGTAATTGTACAATATATGTTGTTGCTGTGTTGTATATTACAGTTTGCACACTTGCAATTGCATTGCTCATTGTTGCTGTTGTGAGATTTGTACACAAGCATTTCACTGACTTTCCCACTTTAGAGTGTTAAGTACATAACAAAAGGAGTGGTTTGATCTGATCTCTGTTGGGCCCCTGAGTGAGGCCCTTAACCCTCAAAATGCTGCAGGGGCCCTGGATAAACGGCTGACCCTGTGCTCTGACCCCAGGCTTCACTCACCTGTGTGTGTGTGTCTGTCTCAATAAGGGAATAAAACAGAATATGCAGTGTGCTGGTACACATGCCAAATGAAGCATCATTTCATAGTGAGGGTGTTGTTTTTGTCAACACACAGATCATTCTTTTGAGTAACCTGCAGTAACCCGTTGATCATCGCAGTCAGGGTGGCAGTAAGTTGCACGGGGCCTGGGATCATCATTCTACTGCAAAACTGACCTGTGACCTTTTTATGGGTATGAGTTCAGAATTAAAGGATGCAACCTTTAGAGGATTAAAGCTGACTTATACTTCTGCGTTGAGCCTATGCCATGACCTGCGCAAATGGTCAGCGCTGTCGCGCAGTTATACTTCTGCGTTGAGCCTATGCCATGACCTGCGCAAATGGTCAGCGCTGCTGCGCAGTTATACTTCTGCGTTGAGCCTATGCCATGACCTGCGCAAATGGTCAGCGCTGCTGCGCAGTTATACTTCTGCGTTGAGCCTATGCCATGAC